AGAGAGAGAGCATCAGCACAGGCAGACAGAGTGGTAGGCAGAGGCAGAGGGAGAAGCAGGCTCCCCGCCGAGCAAGGAGCCCGATGCGGGACTCGATCCCAGGACGCTGGGATCATGACCTGAGCCGAAGGCAGCCGCCCAACCAACTGAGCCACCCAGGTGTCCCTGACATCATGCTTTTAAGGCTCATTCATGTACTAGCATATATCAGTGCTTCATTCTTTTTATGGTTGAATAATATTCCATTGTACGGATATACCACATTTTACTTAGCCACTCATCAATTGATGGACATTGGGTTGCTTCCACCTTTTGGCTATTAAGAATAGTGCTGCTATAAAAATCTGTATACAGCTTTTTGTGTGAGTATGTCTTTAGTTCTTTGGGTATGTATCTGAAAATGGGATTATTGGGTTATATGGTAAGTTTATGTTTAAATTTTTGAGAAACTGCAAATTGTTCTACAGTGGTGACACCGTTTGATATTTCCTTTTTTTTTTTTTTTTTAAGATTTTATTTATTTATTTGACAGACAAAGATCACAAGTAGGCAGAAAGGCAGGCAGAGAAAGAGAGGAGGAAGTAGGCTTCCCGCTGAGCAGAGAGCCTGATGCCAGGACCCTGAGATCATGACCTGAGCCGAAGGCAGAGGCTTTAACCCACTGAGCCACCCAGGCGCCCCTCTTGGTGGCATATTTAAGAAACGATTGTTCAACCCAAGGTCATGAAGATTTGCAACTATGTTTCCTGCTAAGAGTTTTGTAGTTTTAAAGCTTTCATTTAGGTCTTTGATCCATTCTGAATTAATTTTTATATATAATGTGAGACAGAGGTGCAAAGGAACTCGTGCCCCAGCAGCATTTCTGGATTTCTTTTAAATTAGTTAGGAAAGGGGCACCTGGGTGGCATAGTCTATTAAGTGTCCAGCTGTAAGTTTCAGCCCAGGTCATGATCTTGGTGTTATGAGACAGAGGCCCAAGTTGGGCTCCCTGCTCAGCATGGAGTCCGCTTGAAACTCTCTTTCCCTCTCCCTCTACTCCTCCCGGCTACGTGCGTGTGTGTGCATGTGCTCTCTCTCTCAAATAAATAAAGAAAATCTTTAAAAAATAAATAAATTAGATAGGAAAAATGAGGAGGTAAAAAAAGACATTAATACTGTCTTTATATTTGTCTATGTTGATACTTTTATCAGTGTTCTTGATTTCTTTGTGTGGATTTGAGTTACTGTGAAGGCTCCTTTCATTTCAGCCAGAAGGACTCCCTCTAGCAGTTCTTAGAGGGCAGGTCTGCTAGAAACGAACCATCTCAGCTTTTGGTTATCTGGGAATTTCTTCCTTTCTTCCTTTTTTTTTTTTTTTTTTTTTTTTAAGATTTTACTTATTTATTTGACAGAGAGAGAGATCACAACTAGGCAGAGAGTCAGGCAGAGAGAGGGGGGAAGCAGGCTCCCTGCAGAGTAGAGAGCCCGATGTAGGGCTCTATCCCAGGACCCTGGGATCATGACCTGAGCTGAAGGCAGAGGCTTTAACCCACTGAGCCACCCAGGCGCCTCTCTACCTTTCTTTTTTATCTTGAGAGAGAGTTTTACTAGAAATAGGATCCTTGGCTGAACCTTTGCTCCAGCACTTTGAAGATGCCATCTCACTGCCTTCTGGCCTCCATGGTTTCTGATGAGAAATTAGCTGTTCACCTTGTCCAGGAGTACTTGTAACAGATGATTTGCTTCTTTCTTGCTGCTTTAAAGATTCTCTCATGGTCTGACTTTTTTTTTTTTTAAGATTTTTTATTTATTTGACAGAGAGAGACATAGCGAGAGAGGGAACACAAGCAGGGGGAGTGGGAGAGGAAGAAGCAGGCTTCCTGCTGAGCAGGGAGCCTGACACGGGGCTTGATCCCAGGACCCTGGGATCATGACCTGAGCTGAAGGCAAACGCTCAACAACTGAGCCACCCAGGCGCCCCTCATGGTCTGACTTTTGATAGTTTGATTATGAGGTGTCTGTGTATTTCTTTATTCTATTTAGAGTTGAACTTCTTGGGTATGTAAATTAATGTTTACTCATCAAATATGGAAAGTTTTCAGCCATTATTTCTTTGAATAGAAGTTAGCATAACTCCATTCATCTCCATAGGATAATGGGACATGAAGGTGTTTGGTCTATTCTCATGAACCCTTTTGTGGGAGAATCATCAGCCCCATATTCCTGATGGGAAATGGAACTAATAAAGATTTCATCAAATGCACAGTGATGTAAAACCCAGTTCTCTGGTTCTTGGGTGCGGGATTTCTTCCTAAGACATCCATTGACTGAGCCTCAGACTGGTTCCATCAGCTACCCCATCACCTGTGATGGCAGCAGAGGGATTACATATAGGTTCAGCTCTGCTTCAGAGGTCCCTTCCTCACAGGCAGGTCTGACCCTGGAGCTGAAGACCACACGTGCCAGATTCTGGAAGGGCAGCAGGAGTTGCTCATTGAAGCCCATAGAACTTCAGAGTTTCTAGTTCCTTCCATTCAAAAAGCCCTGAGGCTTCCACTCATTGTCCTCTTCCCTCTCTTCCTGGCTGGTTCTAGCTCCTTAGCCTGGCATGTAGGGTCCTCCTTTTTAGACACACTGCTTGACAAGATGAGTCATTCAAAACAGTCTTTATGTTCTTCTAATGTTCTTCAGGTCACAGGTGCCTTCACATCTTTATAGTAAAGAATTTAACCTTGCCCCAAGAGAGGCCTGGCCCTTGCCTTCAGCTTCTGGGAGGTAATCTCTAAGCCTTTGGAATGTTATGCCTGATTGCCCTGTCTTTATTTGCCTGGGGACCTTGGGCAAGCCAGCTAGTAGAAATGTGATTTTTGGATAGGGGCTTTGGGTCATGAAATAATAGCTTGATCTCCTGAGGGGCCGGAAGCTGAAGTCAGCCACATGGACAGTCAACCAGATCTATGTGATAGGACCCCAATAAAGAGTGGACACTAAGGCTCGGGTGAGTTTCCCTGGTTGACAGTATGATGGGCTTATTGTCACACATCAACGCCTGGAGAATAATGCTGTTCTGACTCCACAGGGAGAAGAAAACTAGAAGCTCTATGTTTGGAATTCTCTTGGATTCTGCCCTATGTCTTTCCTCCCTTGGCTGACATTAATCTGGATCCTTTAAGTGTAATAAAACATAACTTGAGTATGAAAGCTTTTTGTGAGTTCTGTGAAGCTTCTTAGCAAATTATTGAACAGAAGGATAGTGTTGGGAACCTCCAAATTTACCATTGGTATCAGAGGTTAGGGTGGTCTTGTGGACTGTCCTCTGACTCTGCAGTTGGCACCCACTAGCAACAGCTCTGGAGAAGAAGAGGGTTGACATTTGAGGGTGTTATTTACTACTTTGCCATGGCCAGGAAGGAAGCGGATTTTCCTTCCTGAGCTTTCAGGGATCTATTCTATCTTATCTTCTTTCCCTCCAATTCTTCTAGGTCCTTTTCTTCTTAATTACTTCTCTGCCTTTTCTCCTACCTTCCTGCTGGGTAGGAATCTTGGAGGACCTTCTTCTGAATCTTGGAGGGCTCCCTCTTCACGATTTTTTGAAGATGTCTCTACCTTTTCAGAGGACCTATGTTAAGCAGGTGTCCATGCAGCAAGGGGAGGATGGACATGCCAGGAACCAGTAAAAGCAAGGCTCCTGCATCTGTCAAGAGCTTTATTAACTGCACATGCACATGAGATCGAAGTAGCCCATATGGCTGCCTTGACCTAGATCTGCCTGTTTGGGAGACTGCAGTTAGCTTTCTGCTCACTGTGGGTATCAGCATCTTTTTTCCAAATGCTAGTGAGTTTCACTGACCTTTCCATAACAACACTGGTAAAGGTTCTATAACCCAAGATTGAAATATATATTTAAATATGTATACCTATATAATATTCATATATATGTACACATACCATGTTCATATATAATTATATATATACATATATAATGTTCATATATATATCTGAAACTAGGGAACTAATGAAACTCTTAGGTACATAGTAATAGCTAACATTTAAGGCAAGCCTGGGGATGCCTGGGTGACTCAGTTGATTAAGCATCTGCCTTTTGGCTCAGGTCATGATCCCAGGGTCCTGGGATAGAGTCCCACATAGGGCTCCTTGCTCAGTGGGGAGCCTAATGCTCCCCCAGCTTGTGCGTGTGCTCTCTCTCTGACAAATAAATAAAAAAAACAAAAACAAAACACTTAAAAAAACAAAACACTACGCTATCTCTTTAAAAAAAAAGGGGGGCAAGCTTACTCCATTTCATTTCCTATTCTAGCTACTTCGAATGGACTATGCTATTTAATCCTTAGAATTACCCTATGTGGTGGGTACTGTAATTAATGGACAGGTGAGTAGGGTGAAGTTCAGAGACCTCGTCTGAGTTCACACAACTGTGGGGGACTGGAGCTAGGATTTGAACACACGATCCCATTCCTGACCCTGCACCTTACTTTTAACCACCTGCTCCCTTCCTGCTAGGGGTATAAGTTCTGTTCTGTACTATTTGAATTCTCTTCTTTGATCATATTGGTTCTTCCTTTAAGGGCTCGTGCAATTCTAATTGGAATCCCGATAAAATAGGGATTTTATTGCTTGACTGATAAAACTACTGCAGAGATTTTTTTTTAGATTCCTGATGTTCAGTTGCTCACCATTCTTACTGTTGGCATGGAACACCCATCCAACTGTTAGCCCACACACACAGTGTTGCGGGGTTGGGCAGTAGGGATTTCTGCTAATTCCCTCTTTTTTTCCCTTGATCTTTCCTGGGTTCCATTGGCAAAAACCTCCTGCAGACTGACTCTACTGGACTGGTAGATCCGTGAAGGCTCATTCCTTTCAAAATGGGTGTCTGGTCTCTGGTTCAGATGTCCTCAGGCTCTGTAATCATTAACTCCTGCAGGAAGCTCACAAGACAGATTATCTATCAGAGCATCTGCTTCTGCTCAACTAGACATAGCAACTAGTGAAGTCCTGAGATGGAGAGAAGGCAGGAAAGAGATGGCGGTGAGGGGGTGGCAGGATGGGAGCCAGGTGGCAGGGGGCTAAGGCTGAGGAGGGAGATTGGCTTGTGGAGTGCTGTGTCCCTGACTGCTGGCTGTATGGTCGGTTCTGGTATCTTCATGTCACCACAGGGGGTCTTGGTCTACATAGGCAGCCCTGGGGCCAGTCTTGTGGTCTGGGCAGTCTGTGGTCTCCTGGCCATGATGGGTGCCCTGTGCTATGCTGAGCTGGGTGCTCTGGTTCCCAAGTCTGGGGGGGAATATGCCTACATCCTGCAAATCTTTGGCTCCTTGCCAGCCTTCCTGGTTATCTACACGTTTGTGCTGTTGGTCAGACCAGCCGCCATCGCTGCCATCTCTCTGAGCTTTGCTGAGTATGCAGTGGCTCCGTTCTACCCTGGCTGCTCCTTGCTGCCGCAGGCTGTGCTCAAGGGTGTGGCAGCCATCTGCATCCTGTCGCTGATGCTGGTCAACTGCAGGAGCTCGAGGCTGGCCACCATGCTGACGAATGTGTGCGCGGTCGCCAAAGTGTTCTCGTTGTTGGTCATCGTGGGGGGTGGGGCTGTGGTGCTGGGCCAGGGCCGTGGCTACACGGAAGCCTTTCTGTTTGCCTTCCACAATACCACGCAGCAGCCCGGGCGCATCGGTATGGCCTTCTACCAGGGACTGTGGTCCTTTGATGGCTGGAATAATGTCAACTATGTGATGGAAGAGCTCAAGAATCCGAAGGTGAGTCCGTGATACTTCTTCAGGGTGTGAGATCTCCAGACATCAGCAGTTCCAAGTATTGTTATTTGAGCTGACAAGACCATGAGACATCAGCTGAAAGTGGGGGCTCCCTGTTTGCAGTCCTGAATGCCAGCCCACCGTCTACCTTAATTTGTGTATGGAATTATATGAGTAATAATTTCCCAAGTGAGCACGGAACTTTATAGGACCATGCCTGAGGTCTCATTTGCCCTGTGAGGTAGGTACTCTTCCCCATTTTTCACATGGGAAAACAGGTTTAGAAAGAGGGAAGTGATTCTGAGGTCATGTGACTAGCGAGAGGCCATGCTTGATGACTCAGCTTGTTATCTATCTTGATAGTTGGAACATGCGGACTCTTGAGTTATTATGGAAATTAACTCTTTGCTGTAAATATATTTGCTTAGGTTGCTACTTCTTTTCTTTTTTTTTTTTCCTTTCCTGCAGGAATCTTTAATTCTCAGAGGATGAGAACTGAGTCTTTTCCTCTACCTCCCTGAGGCTGGCTAAGGGGTCTTTACATGTCTCAGCTCTCGATAAAAGCTCCCTGGAGGCGAGTGTTGGGAGAATTTGGGAGGAGACAGGGAGCTTGGAGGCTGAAGTCCAAGAGCAGAGAGAGATTGGGGTGAGGGCTGGAGTTCTGGGACCCAGTTTTTATTCTTGCATGTAAATCCTTGTGCTTCAGTCCCTGGCCTGTGAAACAAGATCTTCATAGCTGCCCCATCTACCTCACGGGGCTTCAAGGTGTCAGATGGCATAACCACTTGTGCATGGAGACAACAGCTGTAATTTGAGGTGAATGGCTAGTGTGTGCTCAGGTTGGCTCTGGGTGGGGTGGGAGCTATAGGGAGCTCATGGGGAGTAGACTACTCTCTCTGAACCCAGGCCCTGAGCTCAGAGCTGGTTGAGGGAAAGAGCAAAGGGCCCAAAGATGAGTGAGACGAGCTCCCATGCCATAGTGTGGATTAGCCACCTTTTTCCTGTAAAACATCAGAGAGTTAATATTTTAGGTTTTGCAGGCCACGAGGTCTCTGTCAAGATTACTCAAGTCCGTTGTAGCATGAAAATAGCCATAGGTAAACAAATGAGTGTGGTGATGGTCTCCCAAAAGTTTATTTACAAAAAGAAGCAGCAGGCTGGATTTGGTCCACAGGCTGTCGCTCGCTGACCTCGGGTGTGTGTATGGAGCATTTTTGACAAATGTGGGTTTCAAAGCAAAAACAAAGCCATGGCTCTGAATGCTGGACATTTGAAAGGCTGGTTCTCACTCCGCCCTCTGAAGCACATGTTCAGTGTATCTTCGTGTCACACTTCTTTTTCAAAAAAAACTGCAGAACCTGTGCCAAACCTGGGCCAGTCTTATGAATCTGAGCGAAGAGTTAAGGTGTTCAGGAACGAAGCCAGGAAATCCCACTGTTCTTGTGGTGCACCGTGGGGCTTTGCTGTCATAGCTCATCAGCTGGCAGGTGCGCTGTCCAAGATGAGTTAAGTTTAAAAGCACATGAGGTCCACTTCCCTGGGACTTAGCACGTGGCTGGGTCATGCATGGTGGGTCTTTGCCTGCTGAGGGTCCTCCACCATGAGGCCCATTGTGGGGGGCAACCCAGGACTCTGTTCCCCCAGCCCATCTTTGCCACAAGTGGCATCTTCTGGACCAGACAGAACAGGACTTTCAGGACTGGAAAGATGAGGAATTTGCTGTCATGCCTATGTAGTAGTTGGGGCAACTTCCTTTGCTTTTAGGTCCCCAGTTTTGAGAGCTAGAGGGGATGTGGAAGGACCCATTTTATATGAGACTCCATTGCCATCCTCCTGGCTTCCCGTGCACATAACTGTCACGTGACCTGCTAGGTCAGCTGACTAGCCTTCCCGGTTGTCTGGGGCTGAAGCGTTCCCAGGAATGCTGGACTTCGGGGGCTAAAAGCATGAAAATCTCAGGCAAACTGGGCTGAATTGGTCACCTATTGGTCACCCTTAGAGGACAGGACAGGGTGGGACAGAGGCTTGGATATAATGAAGCTTGCCTCCGCTTGCTGCTGCTACTCAGAAAAAAGAGATCGCCGGGAGATGGAGCAGTCAAGCAGGCCTTCCATATGTGGCGGGTTAGAGTTGAACCTTGAAGCGCTGGTGAGGTTTGTGGCAAAACAGCCAGGCAGAAGCAGTGTGAACAGGAACCCAGAGACCCAAAAGAACAGGGCACGTTTGTGTCTCAAGGACATTTGAAGGAGGCATGAAGACAGTCCCTGAGATCACTACTCTGTCCTCAGTGCCCCCATGCATTTCCTCCCATGCTTCCCTCCAGAGTTTTCTGTGGGGATATCTTGGCCCTGAAGAAAGCTCTGGAAATTGTTTTTTTATATCACGTTGAAGAACAGAAAATATGCTAACCAGGAGAGAGTCTTAAATGTGGGGAAGGTCTTACCTTACAGTGGGCAAGGAGGTCTGTGTGGGACGGTGGTATAGCTCTCCCCTGGATGGCGCTGTGCCAAGTCTGGAGGAGAACACCCTGCCTCTTGGTACAGCATGACCACTTCTCTGTTTCATTTGTGTTACCTTGTAAGTGTCAGTAACAGCAATGCCAGGTTCTGGTGTCCCGTTTGGTATGGAGGGGAGAGGCCCTGGGCTCATCGGTGCTTGCCTGCCCCTCACAAGGTAAGCCAAAGGACACCTAGAGAAAGCTTTTCCTTCCTCCTACTTCGGAGTTTAAAGATGTCTATCCAGGGTGGCCCACGCCTGGGGAAAGTTGAGTAGTTCTGTGGGTCCCAAGGGAGACCCCTTCCTTCCATTTGCTCTTGGCTCCAGAATGATGGCCAGGGCTGGGGGTGTGAAGTCGGAGGGAATACATTGATGTACCCAGTTTTCATGGATTCCTCCATTTTTACTGGATGCCTGCTCAGTCCCTTTCTTTTATTATTTTTGAAAAATTTATTTATTTTAGAGAGACAGTGAGTGAGCAAGAGTGAGCATGAGCAGGAGGGGCAGAGGCAGAGGGAGACAGAGTCTCCAGCAGACTCTGCACTGAGTGTGGGGCCTGACGCAGGGCTCGATCTCGCGACCCTGAGACCATGACCTGAACTGAAACCAAGAGTCAGACACTTAACCGACTGAGCCACCCAGCCCCTCAGTACCTTTCCTGGGAGACCATGGGTCAGATTGGCCCTTAGCTCCCAGTACAGCCTGCTGTGAGTTCCCACGGCCCCTCTGTCCAGGCCCTTCGTTCTGTTCCTCTTTGATGACCCTTACACCTCGCAGAGGCAGAGCAGTAGGGAGTCCCACTTTACAGATCCCCAATGACCCCCAATTTCCAGTTGAGGAGATGGAGGGGCAGAGTGGAACCCTTGGGAGTAATGGCCTGCAGTCTGGGCCTGCATTCTGGAGACCCAGAGATTGGGCAGGGTTGGCGTGGTGGGTCTTGGAATATTCCAGCTGGAAAGATCAATGAACAGCCAAGAAGGAAGATCTTTAACTTTCTTGTCCCTTCTCTGTGCCTCTGCTCTCACGGTTGCCCCTGCTGGGAATGCCCCCATCCCCACCAGCGGGAGTCTCTCCCGTTCTTCCAGGAGAGCCCAGCATATGGCCCTGCTCATTCTGGAAGTTTTGGTGATAGCGCCTCTCCCCGCCCCACTCCTGTCAGCCCCTCTGTACCTCCACTGCTCTGACTGGTTAGTGCCCCTCAGGGCCTCCCAGGACACCTGTTCTTTCTGTGTCCACGATGTGGGGCTGTGAGCACATGGATGAGGGGCACACCCGGGGCCCGGCATATTCCCTGTGGCCAGGATAGTCTCAGCACTGCCCGGACGAGCGTGTTCTAGGGCCTGAGAAGGACCTCCCCCGCTAACATGGGGCCTCTTCTCCCGGATCTTTGCAGCAAAACCTGGTGTGGGCGCTGCTGATCGCCATCCCTCTGGTCACCAGCCTCTACCTCCTGGTCAACATCAGTTACCTGCTAGTGTTGTCATCCAATGAGATCCTCTCCTCTAACGCTGTGGCCGTGAGCTGGGGGTGAGTAAGTCAAGGATGCGATCCTTGACCGCCGGGCAGACCATCCAGACTGGGGAGGGATAGTGCCCCCTGTGCATTTCAGCTTGCCTCTAGATGTCTTGCTAGCTCTGTTTCCTGGTGGTTGGCCTCCAGTTTGCTGCTGGAGTTCCTTCCCTTGATTCCTCTGTTGTCCTAGGAACCAGGTGCTGGGAGCCTGGGCCTGGCTGGTACCCTTGGCTGTCGCACTCTCCACGTTTGGCTCCGTCAATGGGATATTCTTCGGTGGAAGCCGTGTGTGCTATGCGGCTGCAAGAGAAGGCCACCTGGTGAGAGATGGGGTCCCGGCCGGGCGAGGTGCGGGTGCTGCAGGAGGAAGGACTGGAAGGACTGCAGAGGCTGAGCTTTCTCCTGCCTGAACTTAGCTCTGAGCCTAAGCCAGGCCTTCCCCTGTAAGACAGAGCCCTGTTCTTTCTAAGAATGGGATTAAAGCATCCCACCCCTCTCCATTTAAACTCTAATCCTTCGACTTCCGGGCTTTGGGAGATCACCATACAGGGTCACTGTGGAGCTTGTAGGTGGTGGGGACGTTTGTACACTCCGGGTGTGTGGGGGCAGTGGGTGAAGCCATAGGAGTAGAGCCAATGTGGATGCCCAGGGCCCTTCCCCCAGGGACTGTCCCTCTGGTAGCCTTTGTGGCAATGATGCTGAGTAACGGGCAGCTCCCAGGCGTCCGGGGCTGACAACAGCAAACATTCCATGTCGTTCATCAGTCCCTGGGTCCCCTGTGGCTCTGCTTCAGGCTGGGGTTTGTGTTCAGATTTCTTCTTTTGGGGCTCTGAGTCTGTTCTTGTCTCAGGGACCCAGGCCAAAGTATGTTTTTGCCTGGAGCAGGTGGCAGGGGTTGAAGAGACCAAGCCAAACCACACAAACGTATTTTGAGCCTCTGCTGTGTTACTCCTGCTCACAGTTCATTGGCCAAGCCCAGCGCCAATGGATGGGGAACCAGACAGTATTTGTCCCACAGGGGTGGGAGGGGGAGACTGACTATTTGCTGAGTAATAGTACAGTCTACCACAATAACCCACAGTCCTACTCCATGCTCCACCGGCAACTGCCCTACCCTTTCCTCCCCCTTTGTCTGTCTTCCCACCCTTGGTACCTCTTCCTGTGTTGGGGATGAGCAATAGAAAGTTGAACGACCTGGCCAGGCACCTGCTTCAGCTCTCTACACTCTCTCCCAGCTGGGTCTTGGCTGGCCTGGCAGGATTGGTCCCCCCATTCTGCATCCTGGGCCTGGTTTCACCCCAGGTGAGCCACAGAGATCTACACCCAGAAGCAGTGGAGACTGGGGACTATTAGGTTGGGCCCACTGGTGTCCAGAATGAATTTGGCCGGGGAAGAGGGCAGGAAGCTTCCCAGGGCATGTAGCTGCTGTGGCTCCCTGGGGGGCTGCCTGACAGCTGGCTTTGCTCCCAGCCCCAGCTTCTGTCCATGGTTCATGTGCATCGCCTCACACCAACTCCGGCCTTGATGTTTACCACCGCAGTGGCTCTGGTCCTGGTCATCCCGGGAAACTTCAGCACCATTGTGAACTTCTTGAGGCAAGTGAGACTGTCCTCCCGTGTGGGTATCTCATAGTGCCTTTGTGTGCACGCTCACATACACTCATTCACATATTTAAAAGTCCTCTGTGTGTGCACACTCATGCACACGTGTGTGTGTATATCCATAACACGCTTCTGGAAGCCCCTATGTGTAACTATCACATATATGCATGTATGTATACATATGTGCATGCACACTTCTAGAAGCCTGAGCTCAGCCATTGCAGCCATTCCCTCCCCGTTGTATTTCCAGATTTTTAAAAAAAGATTTTTATTTATTTATTTGAGAGAGAGACACAGTGAGAGAGAGCACGAGAGAGGAGAAGATCAGAGGGAGAAGCAGACTCCCCGTGGAGCTGGGAGGCCGATGTGGGACTCGATCCCGGGTCTCTGGGATCATGACCTGAGCCGAAGGCAGTTGCTTAACCAACTGAGCTACCCAGGCTCCCTGTTTCCCAAATTCAAGTGTGTCTCCCTTCTGTCTTGCCCTGTTTCCCAAAATTCAATGAGACAAGTGTTTCACCAAGAGGCAGATGAGCAAAAGGCTTGTGCTGTCTTTGTTATTTTTTTAATTCTTCCTTGTTCCTTTCCTCTGTCACCGGGATCATGTTGAGGCCATCGTCAGGCTTTACTCCCCACTACCTGCAGCTCTTGGCTGTGACATGATTTTCCCTTTGTCGTCTGATCTGTGTTCAGGACTCTGACCCAGCATATCTCTAGTGAACACAAGGCAGACTCACAGCCACACTGGGTATAGTCAGTGATTGGATCAAAGTGGGGAGATGTTCTGACCCCCTTTATTACCTTCTCTGGGGCAGAAATGATGGGCAGTTGTGCCGTCTAGCCATCCAGCCATAACTTTATGACCTCATCTGAAGCAGGGTTGGTGGGTGTGTCCTCACACCCACATGCGAGCGCAGCATCTGGGTGCAGAGGGAGTTCTCTGAGGAATTTTTTCATGCATTGTGTGCTCTCTCTTTTGTTGTCATAAGTATAATTAATTTCCTGGAACAGGATCTACAGTGCTTGATGTGACTTTCTTCAGAACATTGAGTAACAGACCTGGTTTTTCTTTTTATCTTCTTCCCATGAGAAAGGCTAAATTCATGATATGCCAAGAATAAATCAAACCCATGGCGAGCCCAGGGTTTCTTTAGACTGAGATTTGGGGGATGTGACCGAGAATGTTCCAGCACAGAGTGAGAATGTTAGGATGACACATCCCAATGAGGACACAATGTCTCCCCATCTTGACTGCCTCCAGGGACAGCCTGGTCTGGACCCTGTCTCCAAGGGCAGGTGAGGTTTTCATAGACCTTCATCAGCCACTCAGCTACCCACACCGGCAAAGACAGAGGCCAGGGGCTGGTTTGGGTGCTCCACGGCCTACCCTGTCACCAACTCTAAGGTAGGAGGATCTGCTATGAGTGTGTGGTCCCTGAGGAGAGCACAGGCTCCTTGAGATTCCACCAAACTCTTTCTTTTGGACACACATATGCACTTCCCTCCCTTTGAAAACTGTCCTCTTCTGTCCAGCCAGGGGCAGTCAAGAAAGGTCCAATCTGAAGCCAGGTGGGGGCCTGGGCTTGTGTACTTGTCACTTGGTGACTGAAGATGAAAGAGGAGGGGATACTCCCCAATGCATTCTTGTTCTTGGTGCCCCAGCCTTGCCTTCTTTCCTTAGCCTGCATGAATAAGGGGCTGGGGGTGGCTGAAAGGCCTCTGATGAGCTTGCACTTGTGCCCTGGGTTTGCATCAACAAGGCCAGCCAGGGCAGGGCCTGGTAGTGAGTGGCTTCTGTTTGCCTTTCAGCTTTCTTGGCTGGATCACCTATGGAACCACCATTGGCTGTCTCTTGTACTTGCGGATAAAGAACAAGAATCTTCCTCGACCTTACAAGGTAGACTTTGGAATAAACATTGGGCTTTTTCCAACCCTAGTCTGTGCATGAGGCAGATTGTTGGTCCACAGCCTCATCCGGGGTGGCCGCTGTCATATTTGGTAGAAGATGTCTGTATTTCCTGGGGGGGTGAGGGACAGCTGGGTCCTAGGGCCTTGATTCTGCTTGCTGGGGACTCATTTCTCCTCTGGAGGACTCTGAGGGAGAACGATGAGAGACATGTGCCCAGAGGAGGCTCCCACACAGTAGGACTCACAAAGCACAGAGAAGATCAAGCTGGGTCCCAAAGTCTTGGCTCCTTGGATGGCCCCCGTAACCCAGCACGTGGCTTTTCTGGCTAGGCAAGGTATGATGGCAGGGACAGGAAGAGGGGAGCTGGTGGCAGGTGGAAGCAACAGGTAGGCAGGCAGGTGGGAGGGACAGAGACCAGGGGCCACACACCCTGTCCCGTGCCTCTCCATCATCCAGTCTCTGTGTCTCTGGCAGGTCCCCACCGTCATCCCTGTCATCATGCTCCTTGCTTCCTTCTACCTGGTGCTCGCACCCATCATCGAGCGCCCCCAGACTGAGTTCCTGTACATCTTCCTGTTCCTGCTCAGTGGCATCCCGGTCTATTTCCTGCTTGTCTACTTCCGATGCCAGCCCAAGTGGTTGCAGATGGCCACCCTGTATCTCCAGCTGCTCCTGGAAGTTGCTCCAACCATTAAAAATGTGGACTAAAGGACTGGACAGGTGCACACTGCCCTCCTTGCTGCAGACACATCTGTCCCCACGCAGGCGGCCTTGCCAGATTTTCTGTAGGTTGTGCATAATCCCAATGAGTGAATGGAAGGCTAAATACAGCCACTGTGAAGCTTTGGGGGGTATCCAACCAGGACAGCATCCCCCTTTCTCTAAGAACTGTGCCTCCAGTGCAGGCGGATCGCACAGCCACATTGGTATTACGTGGCTGCCTGCCTGGGGATAGCTACTTGACGTTCCAGGTGGGCAGCATGAAACACATTCCCTTCTCTGGGGATCTTGGAGTTAGAATTCTGATGGTTGCCTCATCTGAGAAACGGTAAATTCTGGAAGCTATGTGGGACTGTCTTCTCTTATGTGGGCAGAGTAGAGAAAGCCCCCATGGAGAGAGGAATGAAGATACACAGAGAAATGGTGTTGAGAAATTCCTTGGTGCCTAAGAGCTGGGGTATGACCTGAGCAGGCAGCAGCCTTGGTCCCTGGCTGCTTTTCAGTTCTGGTCTCTGTCCTTCTGTGGCTCAACTGCCATCTGACTGTCCTTCCTGCTTTTTTATTGTCTGGGACAACGTGATACCTTATAATAAATTTCCAATTTTGGCTCAGGTGGGTTTGAGTGAGTTCTTATTTCTTGCAAATGGAAAAGATCTGGGTCTGACAAACCTTCTTCAGGAAGACATGAGACTTTAGTTCCTATTTAAAGCCTCCAACTGGCTTGAACAGAGAAAGAAGCAAGAGACAGATCCCTGGGAGGGAGGGATTTTGTTGGCTTTGGGTGAAAGGGAGGACTGTCAAATTTCTAGAAGAAAGGGTGGAAAGTTAGAACAGACCTCAGAAGGCTAATGCGGCTGTAGGACTAAAGAGAGGCAAGGGGGCAGAGGTATCTGGCTGCCCAGGGGAAAATGTGGGAAAGGAAGGATGATGACAGTGCCTAGAAAGACTGGGGGTGCAGCTTCTGAGTCCATCGGGGGGGGGCAGTCAAAAAGAGGAGGGGCAGGGACACTGTTCAGCACCTCTCCTCCCACAGCTGCACTGGGACACCTGTGTATGGCCTTCCTTTTATTGCCCAGATACGGAAAAGGCTCCCACAAGATCTTTCGGTTAAGTTTTCTTCTCACATCAACCAGTTCTCCATTTTTGCAACACCAACTGGGTGTCCAATGATCCCATTCAATTCTGACACTGTGTTGAGTTGATACAGACCTCCCAGAGCTAAAGGGCTCAGACACCAGGGACAGACATCAGTCTCAACTCTTAGCTTCCTGGATACCCGTGCTTCTGCCCAACTTGGTTAAACCCCTCCCTTCACAGTCAATCACTTGCTAGAATGACTCAGGACTCTGGAAAACACTTGATTTACTATTATAAGCTCATTACAAAGGATACAAGTCAGGAGGAGTCCGGTGGAAGAGGTGCATAGGGAACTTCCATGCTATGCTCTCTTTGGATATGTCGCCCACCTGGCACCCTGATGTGTACGCCAACCTGGAAACTCTCTGAAATCTGTCATTTGGAGGTCTTTATGGACATTCCATTTACGTAGGTGGATCAATCATTGGCCATCGTGATTGAATTCAATCTCCAGCTCCTGGGATCTCCCCAGAGGTTGGAGAGTTCCAACCTGCTCATCTGTCTTGGACTTGTCCGGAAACCAGTCCCCATCCAGAAGCTATCTGGGGCTCCCATCCACCATCATCTTGTTAGCATACAAAAGACACTCATCACTTGGAGAATCCAATGCTTTGGGAGCTGTGGGCAGGGAACTGGGGACAAAGACCTAATATTTATCTTTTGTTATATCATCCTTCTGAACTGTGAACTCTTTGTCAGTGCTGTTCCTGAGGACATGTTGCTTGTGAAATTCTAGGAGAAACTTCATATCCCTTACCCCAGCAGCACAGCCTACCTTAGAGAAAAGAAAATTATAAGAGGCTGGGTCTATCCAGTTCCTTGTCAAGGGAGACCATGGATCAGGCTGAAAGTTCCCAGAAAAAGCTCTGAATTAGTTCTTTCCTCTTCAGTTTCCCACCAAACTGTGCCTTTGTCTCTCCTGAGCCTCACTGGGCCATGTACCCTAGTGTTTGGTTGCGTTTCATGCTCCCTGCTGGGCTGTGGGTCTGATGAGGGTGGGCTGTTCTTACACATGTTTGTACATCCCTCATTTCCTATCATGCTCCTGGGCTCCTTGCTGACCAATAACGTTTGGTGAATCAAAATATTGAAATATTTGTTGAACAATGAGGGGATGTATGAGATTTATATTTTTTTAGGATTTGTGAGCCTGGTTTGCTTCCCGATAGTGCCTGCTCTACCCTGGGCTCCCAGGCCCTGTCTTGAGAATGTTCTCTAAGGAGGAGAGACATTGCCCAAATCTTGAGCAGTCACATCCAGCTGGCAGTGGGTGCAGACCTAGAGGTGGAAAGCAGAAAGAACAGCTGAAGTCCCATAGCATTGGCCTTGGATCATGCACTCCAGTTAGGCTGTGTCCCAGTGACTCAGTCTTCTCATCCTTTCCATAACTGGCTTCCTTTTGGCTCACAGTCCTTTTGTGATGGTGCAAAGGGTCCTCCAGGTCAGGCTCTTGGAAGGCAGCATCTTGTTCCTTGCAGTTTCCTAGGACATCTTCCTTGATCTCCTGTTCTGCCCCAGACCCCTTAGTAGGCCCCAGAGTAGCAGTGGGGAGTGATCCTAGGTAGAAATCTGAGATTTGCTAAGAAATTAGTATATTGGACTTCCTTGCTCTGAGTCAAGAGCATGTTTTCTATTGTTACTTATCTTCTATAATCAGAGATAACATAGTGTCATGATGCTGGCCTTCGGATTGGAGAAAAAATGTTCTGAGTCTTGGGACCAGGGTCGAAGTCCTCTATATTCCTTCTAGAGAAGGAATAAGTTCCAGGAAAGGTGTGGAGCAGGTGTTGGCTAGGTTCCTGGGGGCAGGGCAGTGTTCTTTAACCCTAGGTCCACCCAACAGCATTTAGATGTTTCTGTTTAGGGCAGAGCCTGGCTACTCCCAGTCATAAGCACTCAATTCTTTGGACTTCCTTTTGACCATTTACACTGTCTTCTGCTGAATACTTAGAATGGGGGAAACTGAGTCTCATAAATTAATCCATGCAAATGAGTGTCATGGTTAAATTTTCAAACACTACAAAAGGTACAAAGGGAAAGTCAACATTTCTTACTCCACACTCCCCATTTCTAGTGCGATCAGTTTCCTTGCTTACTTCCGGAAAGGTTCTGCACACGTATGTAAACCATGGTAGAGTACACTGCTGCTTTGCTCATTAGAGTAATCGCAACTTATTCAGTTCTTCCTGTTGAGGGGAAACAGTTCTCTTTCCTTCTCTCTGTCCCCAGACCAGGGGTCTGAGTCCTTTACTGTGGTGGTCATACATACATACTGTTCACTATCCTTTAGCTCTTCTTCTGACCACATGGTAGGATTGCAGTTCCCTGTCCCCTTGGAGTTAGATGTTATCATAAGACTTGTTTTGGTTAATAAACTGTGAGTTGAAATGATGTACATTTCTGTTAGGGTGAGGCTTCAAGAGCCAATGCACAATTTCCTGCATTTTCCATTTCCCTCTGCTTTAGTGCCTGGTAGTGTCCTCATGGCTGTTCTGTTAGCCGAGTCCTGACATAACAATGATACAGAAGAGGGCCAGTCCCCAGCCAACCCTACGTTGGCATGTAGTGTGAGCAAAATTAACTTCTTGTTTAAACCACTGAGATTGGGGGATGTTTGTTACTGCAGCAGAATCTAGCCCATCCTGACTGTTCATCCCTCCTCTGTTCATGTGTCTTACAAGTACCCAGGACTGCTGACCAATTGAGCCAGGCCTCAGTTTGAGAGTTGCCAAGGAAAGCACAGGTGATGTGAGCTCATTCTTTTGCTGGTCTCTCCACTGTCTCTCCTCCTCCCTCTCACATCATTCCTGTTATTCCTCACCTGCCTTCCCTGTCCTTCTCCTCCAGGCCACCCCTCTCCTGTCCCCACCCCCAACACATTTTCTTCCTTTACTTTCCACAGTCCCGCAGTCTTATTTTGCCTCTAGGGGAAGAAAAACTGGTTCTGCAAATAGGCCTAAAAGAAATTTTGCTAATGAGAGCTTTTGAATATTTGTTCCTGCTCAGGTGTGCACTGAAGAAAGAAAACTGTTCAGCCCAGCCCTTGGGTAGCAGTAAGAAAGACAGAAGGAGGTAAATACACATACAAAAGCCAGCAGATGATTACTTTCAGACATAACCCTGATGCACACAGATAAACACTAACACCATCCCCTTTAAAATAGCTATGGACTATACTCTAGATTTTTCTAAAAATTCATTAACAGTTAATGTGGGAGAGCTTTTTATATAAGCCTTTTTTTTTAAATTTTATTTTTTATAAACATATAATATATTTTTATCCCCAGGGGTACAGGTCTGTGAATCGCCAGGTTTACACACTTCACAGCACTCATCATAGCACATACCCTCCCCAATGTCCATAATCCCACCCCTCCCAACCCCCCTCCCCCCATTAACCCTCAGTTTGTTTTGTGAGATTAAGAGTCACTTATGGTTTGTCTCCCTCCCAATCCCATCTTGTTTCATTTACTCTTCTCCTACCCCCTTAACCCACCATGTTGCATCTCCTCTCCCTCATATCAGGGAGATCATATGATAGTTGTCTTTCTCCGATCGACTTATTTCGCTAAGCATGATACCCTCTAGTTCCATCCACGTCGTCGCAAATGGCAAGATTTCATTTCTTTTGATGGCTGCATAGTATTCCATTGTGTATATATACCACATCTTCTTTATCCATTCGTCTGTTGATGGACATCTAGGTTCTTTCCATAGTTTGGCTATTGTAGACATTGCTGCTATAAACATTCGGGTGCACGTGCCCCTTCGGATCACTACGTTTGTATCTTTAGGGTAAATACCCAGCAGTGCAATTGCTGGGTCATAGGGTAGTTCTATTTTCAACATTT